CTGGACGGTGAACTTGTGACTCTTCCATGTTGTCCTACGTGATCGCACCAGCTGCTCCATTCCTGAGCAGCTCTTCTTCCCACAGGAATGCAAACACAACCTCGACACTTCATAAACACAAACTCAAGAGCTCCTGATGCTATCAGCACAGTCACACTGTGTGTGTGTGTGTGTGTGAGACACAAATCAAAACATTAAGAATGAAATATAAAGTCACAGACAGGAGCAGATGAGTGCTCACTGTGATTTGTGTTTGCTTGCATGTGATGCGATCTCCTCCAAAGACCCAGGATGCCTTGCTGCAGAAACCGGTGGCCGCGATAGGAGAGCTGAGGTCCACGGTCGACCAGGGCACCATCACTTACCCCTGGTCCACACGAGAGGTTGTCAACATCGTCCAACGCCTCCAGGTAAGATGGAACTCTAAAGCGTCCAGATACAGTAGGATGCATATGCTTCAGCAGCTTTTCTATCTTCTCAGATTTAGTCTCAGATGATCTCTGAAATCAATAATTCATAAAGAGTATGTGACCTTAATGCTGCACTCATAGATGTTTTAATAATGCAATAGAGTGTCCTCACCACACAGATGTGCGTCGGCCTGACAAACACACACACACTCACACACACACTCACACACACTTTAACATGTTCTGTAACACAGGAATCTTCTGCAGATTTCAGGTTTTCAATCTCTTATGTCAAAACAACATACAACATAATTCAGCTGTTCTGAAGAAGAAGGGTTGAGACGTTATTATCGTTGACTGTCAGATAACAATGAGGGAAAAAAAGGTTATTTGAGAGAGAAGTTTTTCACCTCAACACGCGGCTGACAGTGTGGGGCAGGGGTAAATGCTGGACTGTCATTGGATAGTCAGGGGGGCACCTCTCACTTTTCTATGAAAGGAAAATTAAATTAAACGTAGAGCCTTGGAGATTCAGGCACATTAGGCAGGAAGAATAAACGGAGGGTGGAGGAGTTGGTGTTCGGTACCCGCAGATTCACATCACTAAGCATCACCACTTCCAGCTTCCAGAGCAATTATGGTCGAGTTTAATTCAAAGTGTGGGATCGTGACAGTGTTTCGTGCTGTATGTGATTCTTGTGCTCCGGTGGTAGAGTGACACTTTTCTGTCTGATTGATCAGTGGAGCGTTGTGTAGCCATGGTTACTGCATTGATCTTTGCTACATGCTATTCACCCATCTTCACCTTTGCTCGCTTTATCATCATCATCATCATCTTCATCATCATCAGCCAGCACCATCTCTTTGGAAAAGGGCACAACAGTTATTTTCAGCTTGTTTGTGTGAATCCAGTCACACTCTGATTTCGATTATATTTAAAGAGCGAGTGTTGGTCACGATTCCCCGCCTCCTCCCTCCTCAGAGCTTCAGGAGTAACGGTGAGGGACCAGAATAACGGCGCTTGAAGAAGAGTGAAATTAGGATTGGAGCTTTCGCTATTGTAGATCAATAATTCAGTGCACAGGGACGAGACCTTATGTTTGATTTCCCCACTGGCCGCCCACTTCTGACATTAATCACCACCACTATTGACATGTGGAGGAGCAGGACAGACACAGGATCATTTAGTTTAAGGCTAAATTGCTTCTTTCGAGGCGCGAGCCAGTGTTGGCCTTAATTACTATTCACATCTGGACATAATAGCACCTTTGTGGTGAATAGAAACACAGATCAATACGCCACATATGATCTATGTTTCAGCCGTAACCAGCTGGGATGAGACTGTTGCACCGAACGTGCTTTTAATGTCCGAATAACGGCCCGAGATCCAGGGTTGTTTAATCATCTCGACCATTGTGTCAGTTTAATATGTATAGAAACAGTCAATTACAGCCACTACAGGACGATCACTCACCAGGCTGTAGAAATTAATGCTTACATTTCTTTCTGCTAGTCGCCACCAGGGGCTGGATATGGAGATTGTGTTGTTGTGTGAAATGTTCCACCAGCCGCGAGTATTGATAAGCGTCAGATATCGAGAGCTGTTATCAATTCAGATCTATTCAACCTCCACCAGACCGGTCGGATTAACCCGAGGACCGTGAATGAAGATGGAGGAGATGGGGAGTTCTGGTTCATGTTTGTGATAAGTTTGGTTTTTTTAATCACTTGTGCGATGATATAAAAACGGGCTGAGACTCTCTCATGATTGGTGGAGTGTGTGTTTTGACACAGATCACTGCTGCACAGACAAATGTTATTATTTACCAGCTTGGACAAGATATCTCGAATCTTTAGAGCACAGCGTCTGTCTCTGCTCCGTCGCAACAGTGTCTCCTCCTCTCTGTTCCTCTGTCTTTATTGCCCATTTACCAGCATATCACCATAGTTACTGTACAATACGGAAAATTTATTGAGGCAATACAACGTGTACGTCTCCGATTATATCACAGACGCAATAATAAATCCTGTAAAAGCCTTAGAAAGAGAGGGACGACTCCTCTGCACTCATCTGTCAGTGGTGCGTTCAGAGTGTAGACATGATTTATCCTGCAGGTAGCGTTTCTTATTCCCAGCTGTGCCCCGGCATCAACCTCTGTTCAGGAACTGTAAATCATATTAACATCTTCTGACTCCTTTTGTCTATTCTTCCCGCCCTGCTCTTGTGTTGTCTTTTCTCTTCTTCCTGACCCCTTCCATCTTCCCTTACTTCATCTTCTTTACCGTTTGCCTCCTCCCCCCCTTCTCCTACTTCTCCCCCTCCCTGCAGAAATCCCCTGGCGTGGGGGTTCGGCCAACGTGGTGCGAAACGTCTTCGACTTGTGACTCGTACGACAAAGACACCCGGGAGGCTCTGATCGAAGCGCTGCACAAGCACGGGATTCCCATCGGAGCCAAGCCCACCTCCGTCAAAAGGAGTAAGACATCAGGAGAAGCTAGGATGACACACACACACACACACACACACATCCTGAAGGCACATCCAGCACTCGACTAACATACACACACTGACAGTCCAGCAGAGGTCAAAGTCCATTCAGTTTATTTTCACATCAGATAATCACTGCATGCACCAGAAATTAACTCTTGAGCTTTTTATTCAGTGATGGAGTGATGAGATTTTGTTGTCACTCCATCTCGCTGCTTGCGGAGGTCACCTAATTGCTCCTCCAGAGAGGACGGGTACAATCGACAGTGACTGATTCTGGCGTACGCTCTGAAACATCGAATGCTAAAGAGAATCCTCATTTTTACTTTGTAGACCCGTTGTCATGGAAACATTAGAAATCTATCAGAGGCTTCAAATTAATTATATTAAAGCACTGTAACTATGTTTTAAAAATATCGGAAGCTGTTTATGCGATTATGTTTTATGACAAACACTCGATTTAACACAAAATCACAAAGCAGGCGACATTTTTTTACTGAATTTCAACAGTTTTTTTTTCCAGTTTATGTTGTTATTCTTATTTTACTACATAAAAAAAAAAAAAAGAAAAGCTATTGATGTCACTGTTATCGAACCTTCTCCAGAAGCCTGTCGGTATAAAGCAGCTGCTGAGGGGTCAGTGTTCCTGGGTAGAACGGTCTCCTCTGATGGAAGATCCATCATGTGCAGCTGTTAAATAAAGGAAAATATTTGTTTCTTCTGTCTCCTGTGGTTTTATTTGAACTCATCACGTTCATTAATTCTCAGCTCAAGTGAACTCTTGAGAACAGCAGAGCAGAAACAAGTACTTTCCTTCATTCTGCAGACGATCTGATCCATTATGTCTGTCCTGACATCATCCAGCCTCAGTGGGTTTTGCGTCTGTTTGGATCAGTGATTTCAATCCCATCTTGAACAGTTTATATTGGACTAGTTGTTTTGCCCACAACATCTTGTTTACATAAAAACTAAATATTTTGCCTCTTGACTTCCAATTTTGGGCATGGAAAAGCAGAAACAGTTTCTCTTATGTGTCTCGTTGCTTTTCCATTCAGAGAAATATTTACGGTTGGAGGACCGTCCCTCGTCCAACCGTTTTATCCTCTTGGAATTTCCTTGTTTTGTGGTCGTATTGCATTTTTCAATCCACCTGCAGCCAATAAGACTGTGGCCACGGTCCAGCTATGATTTTTGGGAAGACTAGTTAACATCTGGCAGTTTGACCCTTTTTGAATCAAATTAAAACCTTTTTTTTCCAAGAAATCTTTTTTTAACGCAGAGCGAAGCTTCCACCTGAAATTATTTTGAGGCACAAGAAAACTCTATCAACAATATACAACAGTGTGTCGCTTCCTTAGTTCCCACCAAGCGTTTGTCACCATGTGACCTTCAGTCTGTAGGTCGCCCCAGCCGGAGGTGAAAATGACGGGATGCTGGTCGATGAACCGAGATGGCAACGCTCGCCTCGAACTGTCCCACTGAGACGCAGCACATAGACATCCAGGGAAACACAATCTGAAACAGACATCATTATTAAACAGTGAGTTTCCCCACATGCTGAGATTCTGTGAAGAGTTGTATTGTCATGTGGGGGGGGGTGATTGATTGATTGATTGATATTACTTGATTGTAATTGGTGTGTATGCACGTGTTTACATGCGTGTGCTTCATGTTGCATGTTCACGTGTATCCAGGGCCCCGTGTTCCTGCGTGTTCAGAGTTACCCCTGCAGCAGACGGGAGAGCAGGGCTTTGAGTTTCAGGGAGGAGAAAGCCCACTGGCAGATTCCCATGAATGAGGTCAATATCATCTGTGACGTCACCACCAAAGATGGTACACACACACACACACACACAAAGACACACACACACAAAGACAACATTGTATTACTTAACGATCACACTGATTTGATCACATTAGACTCGGTGACGTTTTTACTCAACCCTCTTGGGAGAGTTCTGGTTTGGAGTCACTGAACAGGATGTTGACTGTGATAAAAGCATCTTATGGAGTTTTCATTGTGAATAAACGTGTATTTTCAGATCACTTTGTCTTTTCTGCACAACATAGAATAGAAATCTTTGTTTACTTGCCTGACAAAGAAAGTTCGTACACTCAGACATTAAACATGAAAGTTCTTTCAAGAGGAAGAGAACTGTCCATTCATCGTCTTCATCTTCAAGATTTTTTTCAAATCAAAGGGTCTCAGTGGAATTGATAGAGAATCAATATCTCCTGCCTCTTCTCTCGTCCTTGTTTACTAACTAGTGGAACATCGACTTACACTTATGCAACGCTGGTATTTCAGTGTTTTTTTTTCCTCTTTGGTGCACGACCACAGATTCCTCACAAATTTAAAATAGAGTTTAGAGTTTCTTAAAATTGCTCGGTGGTTAGCGGTTGTTTTGCAGCAGAATCTCTCTCACCCCATCAGACTCTGGCCTGTGACAGCCGAGCGTAAGACAAGAACAATGCTCGTTAGCTTTTTCTCCGAGCAGAACGCTTTACAGCTGCTGCGTATTAGGCAAGAGGAGCAATTCTAAAAATACCTCCGTGATGGATCGTGTTGCGTCTGTCTAAAAATGAAAAGGTCCAGACAACATGAGTTCACTCGCAGGTCAATTGGCCTTCCAGGAAAATCAGGGAACCCATCAAGCACATGCACACGCATAACGCAATGCATGTTCTACCTACACTCACACATGCGCTCACATAGTTGTGGGTCTGCAAAAAACAAAGTCAGAGACACAATTACGTGTGCAGCTTTCCATAACTCACACACAAGACGCCGCAGCCTGTCAGAAGACACATCCACATGCAGGACGGACATGTGTGCTCACACATGTGCACACTCAAACTGTGTGTATGTTTAGAACCAGGAAATGAGGGTTTTTTTGCTTCTCGGAGCAGCTCAGCACAGTAGTGTGTATGTCAGGAATTGGAGGCCATAAGGAAGCCATTAGAGTGGAGCAGGGCAGCCGGGGGCCGAGGCCAGCTCCCCTGAGGCCCCCCCCCCCCCCCCCCCCCCCCCATAAAACTCAGTTGAAGATGAAGCCTAGTGCGTCACAAACAGTTCACCCACCACTTACACACACACATGCATGCACACACTTGGATATCTGATATGAGTGAAGCAATCACACAGCAGGTCGATCTAAACTGAAGTGAATTAAGTTGCAGTCAAGTGTTCACATTAGTTGTAGTTACCTGGACAATAGTCGACAGAACCTTCTGGGGGAGAGCGCCCTCTGTTGGCTTTGAAAGTATTCACCACGAACAGTGTACATGAGGTTCGTTAGTTTGTCAGTCCGCAGGATTACAGTGTTTTTACAACACTGTCACTGATTTGTCCGAGAACAAAATCATGGATCTTGATTGAAAAACTGATATTTATGAGCGTGATTTGGTGCCGAGCCAAATAAAAATTCAGATCTAGTGAATTTAAATGTGGTTTCATAATGGAACTGTTGGACCCTGGTGGAGGAATGTGCTCCACTAAATCACTAAATAATGAAGGAAGGATTCAACTGCAGCCAAACATGAACAATTATTGCATTAAGTAAATCACATAATTGAATCATTTGCTTTCTGTCCACGGATATTCGTTCCATATATTACGTCAGACAAGAAGGTTTTGTTTTCATCGTTTGTTTATTTAGAAGGTTTTACGCAAAACCTCTGAACCGATTTCCACGGGTCATGACGCAACGAAGAATCTTCCCAGGAATCACTACGAGTGCTGGTTATGATCTCAGTAGTTTTCTTTGGTATCAGATTCATAAATGAATAAGTGACTTGTTTTTCGATTTTGCTTTTCTAATTGAATATGAAAAGAACGAATGATAAACAGATTCAGTCCAAAGGTGAATGCAGCTCACTTGTTTCTCACTGTGCATGATAATACATCCTCTAGCTCCAGCTAATGGTCAAAGGCAGTATTGCATTTGGGAATATTACTGCAACAACATTTTTGTGTCTAAGCTCGCAAAATTAATTTCCAACTACTATATGTGTTGCTTTTTCATTTATTTGTGTCTCCAAAGGATAAAGTTTGCACAAGTGGCTTTTACACGTATTAAATATAAAATAGATTGATTTAAAAAATCATAATTAAGGTTGAAACAGAAGATATTCACATACATCTGCTTCTGTTGTTACAGCAAGAAAAGAGTTTTCCATGGTTTTGGTTTCCTGCCCTTGATTTCTTCCTCATTCCTTTAATCTGCAAGGTTTTTCATGCTCATCTTAATAAATAAATATATAATATAATATGATATTCATAATCTTTTGACCAACTGGAAACATCAAGTGTCCGACACAGATGATCAATATAAAAAACTTTTTTTATATTGACAAAATAATTTACAAATTAGGGGAATTAAAATATGTTGACGTCCTTTAGATGAATCTTCTAAGTGCCTTTCCTACATATTTCTAATTGGCAGGTCAACGACAATGTCCCCTTACACCAGCTGGTCGTCCAAAATGTCTGAGTCTGATGTCGTCATCTCTCCCCTCTGCTCTGGGGGTTGGACACCCTGCAGAATGAAGAAGTATGACTGGAACAGAGGACAGCAGGCCCATACAGGTAATGTCACAGTGTCCATTACTTGTGTGGGAAGAATTGTGTCAAAGGTAAAACAAACACTGGAGCCTGTAGTTTCTATCTAGACCACTGAGGGGCAGTGCTACCTAGGAAATAAAATTGTGAACTGATTTGCCAGTGGACGTAATTCAGTCACTGCTCGACATCATGTCGATCATGGATAAAAACAGTGACATCATCAGCATATGCCGAGACGACCAGAGGAGGGTCGTGAGCCAGCCCGGGCAGAGAGAGCTCCTCCTCGGCCTGCGGAAGGAGGCCTCAACCTCCACACACATCCACCAGGTCTACTTTCATTATGACCTCCAAGATTCCATAAAGTGTGCCTCCCCCCCAAAAAAAACAAATGTTATATATTCAGAGCCTTCATTTGGTTCATAGATACCACAGAAGAAGAAAAAGTGTTGAGCAACAGATGGTTTCCCTCCTGAGATCAGAGCGTCCCGCCAGAGCTGCAACTGCAACACTGCTGTGATTAATGAGAGGACAAACACACACACACACACACACACACACACACACACACACACACTGCTGACACTGCAGGTGATAAATATGTGGCTCAGTTATTAAGATGCTGCATTGTTTTATATAGTCCCATTGGTATAACATGCATACACACATACAGTACACTTTGTATTCTGTATTATTTTCATTGTTCACACACACACACACACACACACTCACACACACTTCTGTACGTTTGTATCCGACACAGATCTCAGTCTAATAAAAACGCTCCAATTCATTTACTTCAGCCAATACTTGTTTATTCACCTGATTCCAGTTCTTGTGCCACAGAGTTTATGTTTCACACAAGTCCAGTTGTTTGTTGGTTTGATTGTTACACAAAAGCTGTTGAATGGATAAAG